GTTCTCAAGGCTGTATATTCGAAATTATTACTCGGATTGAAAATTTAGGACAATATTCTAGAGGTGTTTTAGAACTTTTTAAATAAATAAATAAATACATTTTTTAAAACGCTTAAATCCAAGTAATCGCTTGTGTTGGCTTGTTTGTGTGGACTCAAAATAAACCTATTTTTAAGGCGGATTTGTATTAAAATACGTGAAAATGTTGTATTTTATATCAGTCCGTGTCAAATTTGATACACATTTATTTTTTTAAGTAAGGTTAGGTTAGGTTAAGAGTTCAATCCTAACAAAGATCTCACTTGGACAGTTTAGAACGCCGGTCCGTTGTGATACCCAAAAGCGTTATATTATATATAATAATATATAGTCATTAGAACCTTATAAATTGACAATGGCGCTTTGAGTTTATCAAAAATTTGCCAACTAATTCAGTTTTCCCAGTTCACCGGAGGCATAACTGCCGATTTTCAGATTTAATTTCACACAAATTTTCACAACCTACGAGGATAGGTTAAGTTCCTAAACGTTTTCATTCTCAGTGTATTTATTATCTGGACCTATTGAAATTTTCTATTCCTATAACTCATTGAAATAAAATATTTGAATACACTAATTTCTGTTTACTTTCTTTAAGTCTCCGAGTATGGTAGTATTTGGTTTAACTTGAAGAAAGTTACAGCTCTAATTATGACCTTTGCCATCAGTGCGTCACGTAAAAATCGTATGTGAAACATTACTAACTAAATGAGGAGATGAAAAAAATATGTAAATCATTTGACAACCACCCTAATATACCAAAGAAAATATAGTTACGGACTATCCGGAATAATTAAGAACTGAAAGTGTACCAAAAATAAACACCTGCTGCACTACATTACTCAACAGCTAGCGATTCAATCTGTGTGGCGCGTGCGAAGATAGGCAACACTCATTGGCGCCTAATCAGGCTATTGGCTCCCCAACAGTTAACTGATAAATTAACTACTTACCGGTTTGAGCAAGCCACTTGCCAATGTTTACTTAAATATTTTACGAGGAATGTCGCGATGACTCACATAACTATATATCATACTACATATGCATAAATACACGAGTTAATTTGCTCGGCAACAAAAAATTGTGTGAAAATACGTCAAAAACAAAAAGCGCTACTGGCGGGTGTCTCATTACAACAACAATGCAACATATAAATAACCATAAATATGCATATTACTTTAAACAAGCAAAAAAGCTATAAAACAAATTTTTAAAAGGCAATGTACGATCACATAAAAAAAAAATAAAAGCCACAAGTCGATTTTTATCAGCCGCAATATTTTTTTACTGTGCATAGTAGGTGTCACAAGTAGGAAAATATTTAATTGGAGATACAAATATGTCTATGCAGCTCATATATTATAATAAGATATTACAACTGAAAGTATGTTTATATATGAAAGCTTAAATTAATTTAAATTGTTTAATTTAATAATTAATATGTGATTTGTTAGATATTAAACTTGTGTCAAGCGGGTTTTTACACCTTGCGGTTGAATTGTAATGCTTTCACAGTGAATGTGCGGGTATTCACCCAGTAAACGAGATCTTTTATGATATGCGATTACAATCTTCAAATACATATATACTCGTATGTACATATACATCTATACTTTTTAGTGAAACTGTATTAAACTAGAAATTTATTATAGTTGTAATTTAAAGCATAATATTGTATTGAATTTTTGACTCGATTGCAACAGAATTGACGAAATTATGGCAATCTGTCCGTTTGTATATACAACCATGGATACATAAATAGCACACTTGTTAATAAAAAACATTTATTTAAAAAGGCCTGCGTTTTCCTTTCAAAAATTGTCACTTTCATATTACTAAAAGAAAAATATTCAATTAGAGCTAAAAACAGACGAAAACATCAATATGCTACATATATGATAGCTGGAACACACATATATGATAGCTGGATAAATAACACAATCTGAAAATGGTTTACAAAAAGTTGCAAAAGTTTATAAAAATTATTTAAAAATAGCATAGGATTTGCACATTTCGCTAGTCTAGTACCACCATTTTAATAACCCATTCATATTTTTGTTGCATGCTGTCCACCAATTTCTGGCATCGCTCCTTTGGGATTGAATATTAAGCCTCCTCAATTCCAGTTCATAAATCATTAAAATTTTTTGGAATTTTAGGCTTGCTGTATTGGTGTGCTTTGCGGTGTGCTTCGAAGCATGGTCTTTTATAAACGCCCAGTTTAAGGACATGGATTCAAAGACAAATAGCTACATTTTATTTTTCAATATATCCATGTACTGAAATGAATGGTGAAATAGACCAGATTTTACCATTTTTTCAAACAATTGGCCCGGACGTCATTCATGAAAACGCGCCTCAGACCATGAGACTTCCGTCACTGTGGTTAATGAATTTTTTGGTATACCTAGAGCTAATCACGTGATAAAATGTTTTTCCATCTGGATCCATCCTATTAATCTTGGTTTTGTCGCTCCAAAGCACGGTTCTCTAAAAGCGTGCTGATTTGTCTCTGTCGGCCTTTGACAGGAGTGGTTTTTTGCTGCTAATTCGTCCAAAAAGTTCAGCTCGTCTACAAGCATTCTGGACACGTCCATACCATATTCATCATTATTTCGATCATAATTTCTCTATCTGACTTAAAAGGATCGGCTTTTCCCTTCCGTACTATGGTGTTGTCAACACTTATATCAGATCGTGGACTTAATTTTCTTGGTATCTTTTTTTAACACAAGATGGGTCTTGTTTGTTGCATAAAGAGCATTTTTCGCACATAAGCGCTCTATTTTAAGGCGTTCAATATTTTCCCCTTCCCATTTTAATGAAATATAGAAGAAATAATTATCAATTCGCAAAATTAAATTAAAAAACGCGAGAACTTCACACAAAATTCAAAATAAACTCCGAATCTAAAAATGTTCTATTTATGTCTCCACTTCAAATCAACACTATACGCAATAAAATTGCCGCGCACAAAATTTAAAAGCAATAAATGTCATTTTTGAGCAGTAGAATGAGATACATATCATTTTTTTTTTTTTCTTTTTTTTTTTTTTTTTGTTCAGCTACTTTACGATTAAAGAAATTATAAGTAATTTTGGATTTGAATTTGTGTCATTTATATGTCCATGGCTGTAAGTGAATTAGTCCCTCAGTTTTTGATATATCGAGCTAAAATTTGGCACACGTCCTTTTCTCACCAACAATTAGCTCATTTGTCGGAACCGCTGAAATCGGAAACTATAGCATATGGCAGTTATATAAACTGACCGATACGACTCATTTTTATTTTACAAGGTATCTTCACGTTATTTGGTATAAATTATTTAAAGCATGGCTACAATTTCGAAAGATATTGAACAGATCGGACAACTATAGCACAATAGCCATACAAACTGACCGATCATCGATCATGCTATAAATATTATTAATGAATCGTGCTTGATTTTTAGGATTTCGGATGACCCAGCACCAAGTTATGAAGGGCACCTTAAGCCCACTTTTTTGCAAACACTTTTGATTTTTCTGCTAGTGTCGTATTTTTCCATATATTCCACTTAAGACAATCTCTTTCCCTTTACTTTGGACGGAATATGAAAAATTTGTTAAAGCGTACTGGACGCCTCAAAAATTTCTTCATATTTTTCTGTAAACTATGGAACCATAAAAGAGTAGTGGAAAGGATTTCAACAAAGGAGCATTCATTCCGATAAGTTTTTAGCCTAAAAAATACAATTTCGCGAAATTTGATTATTTCGAAACTTAGTATCCGTTTAACCCGATACCCCTTACACAGAATGCTCGAAATCCATTAAACCGCCTGAATATAAATTTTCTGACATTCTGAAAGGTAGGCCTATACCAACGATAATATCTCAAGTGATTAAAACAACATTACGACTCCGACGCGGCCGCAATTTTTACAGTATGACTTACGAGAATATACCAGAGGGACGAAGTACTTTATCGTAGCGCTATGTATGCGATAGCAGAGTAGAAGAGAAAGACTTTACTCATAATTTTGAAAAAAGAGGGGTCGCCCACTTGCAAACTAAATATCATAGTAATAAAGGTATCTCAAGCCCTACTAAAATGTAAATATACTAAATATTTAATTGAATGTGCTATTAAGGTTTCCCTCAAGTAATAAACCCTAATTAGATTAAATATGAAATTACATATTAGATTGTGTTCCCAGCGCGAATAAAGCGCTGAATGCCTTAGATTGAAAAACCCTGGTTTAGAAGTGACAATGCAATAACCATGCGCAATAGAAAATATCATCAATTTATAAATATATATCTATGTAATACGAGGTGTGTTCAAAAAGTATCGCGAATTTTGTGTTTTTTCCAAAATTATTTATTTATTCTATTTTGTCCCCTTCAAAGTAATCCCCATGAGATATTATACACTTGTGCCAACGGTTTTTCCAATCTTCGAAGCACTTCAAAAAATCATTTTTTTTATCTTCTTCGATGACGTCTTTATCTCGTCAAGAGAAGCGTAACGTCGTCCTTTCATAGGCTTCTTCAGTTTAGGGAACAAGAAAAAGTCACAGGGGGCCAGATATGGGGAATACGGTGGCTGCGGCATCATTAGTGTATTGTTTTTGGCCAAAAAGTCGCGCACAAGCAACGATGTGTTCTTCCACTTTTTCGTTTGTTTTTTTCTTTTTCCAATTTCTGTTCTTCCACAAATCCGGGCGTTTTTGGCGGATTACTTGCCGCAAATTGCACATAACTTGCAGGTAATATTCCTTATTGACCGTTCTTCCCTGTGGCAAGAACTCATGATGCACCACGCCCCTGCAATCGAAGAAAACTGTCAGCAAAACTATCGCGATACTTTTTGAACACACCTCGTATATGTAGGTTAGAATATCACCTGAATTTTATTAATATTTCTTACTAAAATAAATGTAACTTACTAATAAAGCATTAAATACATTTTATTTTTAGAATATGTTAACCTTCTACAAAGAGCTGGCCAATGTGACGGATGTAGAGGACTTAATAGAACGCTTCGTAGATAAGGATAGCATTGATCCTCAGCTTGGCTTGCAAGGTGAGTGTAACATATAGCTTGGTATTTTCCACACATGAAGTCATTGACGAAATTATTTTGATTGTTATTAAACGTAAATTCCCGGCATACATTAAGAATATAAATTGAAAACCACATTTAAAATGAGACAGACGCGGTGAATAAATCAAATTAATTTGGTAGCCGACGCACGTTGACAATGACAAGGTTATTACGGTATGACGTGGGGAATATGGGTGATGCGAACACGAACAGATATAGTATTTTGTTTAGACTTATTTTAGATTTTTGCTACTTTATTTAGACCTCTTTTTAATTTTTTGTATCAGCCAATTAATATTTGTCTCTTTACTTTTACATCTTTTCAGACACCTTCAGACGTAGTGTGGAGCGCGGTAAGCCAACGTTTACGCTTTGCCAATTCATGGATTCCAAGTAATAATTTTAATTTTTTCCTTTCCTCCCAATTCAGCTAATGTAGTACAAGCTAAGTCAGCTGCTTGCATGCCCGAGAACACCGTTGTGCCGCTCATACCGCTGGAGTCCTCGAATGATCCAAAAATCGACTATTTTCCCAAGTGTACTCGTGTGAAGCGCTGCGGCGGCTGCTGTGGCTCCCAACTGATGTCGTGTCAACCTGCCGAGACGGAGACAATCAACTTTGAGGTGATTCCTTTTGAAGTGGTCGGTGGCAGAAAAATGCGCCTTCGTGGCAAGGATATTGTCGTAGTCGAACAGCACACGAAATGTAAATGCGACTGTCGCATTAAGGCGGAGGTAGGTAGTCGGGTATGGTCGCTTTTATGCTTTTACTTTGCTTTTCTTAGTTATTGTTTGCGCCAGCAAAATGAGCTTTCTTGCAATTGCTATATATATGCATGTGTGTGTTTTTTTGGGGTGGTGGTGGTAGTTTTTGTATAATTATGTACTGACATGCGCTAATTTTTACAGGACTGTAAGCAATATCAGAGATATCGGCCGGACAAGTGCAGCTGTGAGTGTACAAATGACGATGCGTTGCAGAAATGTTTAGATGTTAGTATGAAGTATTGAAGAAATTATGAAATATTATAAGGAACTAACGGGTGATCCAAGTAGAGGTAATTTTTCAATAGCCTTTTTTTGACAGATCACGAGTGAACCGTGTCAAGCTCTCATGTTTGGCATTTCACTCGATATTCCCAAGCGATATCGCTGCGTTCCAAGGGCTCTTGTAAAGTTCCAAGAAAATCCGTTTTCGAGCTAAATTTGGTTCAGCGATCCCATTTCTGGTGCAATAGGTATGTAAACAAACATAACTGACACATTTGGGACGAAGAGCAACCTAAAGAAATTCAAGGTCTGCCATTTCATCCAGAAAAAACAATGATTTGGTGTGGTTTGTGGGGTTATGTAACGCCTAAAGTATATATGTGGACAATCCCTTTTCGTTTCAAGCCTTAGAACAAAGCATCACGAGTGTCATTAGCCAGTTTCAAGCTCGAACGAGTCGTCGAAAATTTGAGTCAACGGATGGACCATCTGAGACCAACTCAACGGATAGACGTAGACGTGGCCAATATTTGAAAGAGATAATCCTCAAAAAATAAATGCCAAAAAATGTTCTTTCGGATGATAATATACATTCCCCATTAAATTTGAAATTTCAGTGTTTTTTCTTTAAAAAAGGTAGGGCACCTCGAAATGGATCACCCTTTATAATAAGTAAATCATTGAAATGTTAATGATTTCATATATATATTTTTATTAAAATTCCAGCAAGGACACAAATACTGGGATGAAACGGAATGCCGTTGTGTCTGCCGCGACAGCCAGTCCTGTACGACCGGCACGATATTTGACGACAGTCAATGTGCCTGTATCGATGTGAGTACTCACAAATAAAGTGTACATAAAATTATCAAAAGCAAAAAAGTATTTGTAAATAAATTAATGCCATAAGCGATTCAATAGAGCAAGTAATAAGGTTAAATTTCGGTAGCAGTGCATATTTTTATACCCAAGGGCTAAATATATTAATCTATATGATGGTTTTTAAACTCAAGATTATTTTGGAAAAAATATTATTAAACAAGAAGACAAAAAGACAAAAATTACTTACTCACATATAAAATTTACCAGTGGTGAATTTGGACATTTAAATATTGTGGAATGCGGATCTATCGTTATACATACATATGTAATTTTTATATATTTATATTTAATTTAAACCGAGATATTTATTGAGAAGTTCACTTTTTACCACGAATTTTTTATTTTACCAACGATTCGCCGAAACGTTGTGGTTTGGCTACGTTTCAGAAAGAGTTTCGTGGGTTTAGGTCCGTCTATAGAAATTAGTTTTGGTTTGAAAATGCGAAAAATGTTGAGGTGATGTCATGTAGTGATTTAAAGCAAACCACTCCTCAGCACCAACCTTTTTTGGTGTTTGGTGCAGAAAACGGTATTCTTTGTATTGAGCTGAACTGTTTTGGATCTCGATTTCCCCACGCAACATTTTGATGTTGTAACTGTTCTAGGTCCTGTTTGGTTGGTAAGGCAACTCCATTGCCATCAAAATCACTTAAGAAGAAGAGTGGTCGAACTATTAGGAAAAGTATGTTAGGTTAGTTGGTTTCGTAGGGCACGCAAAGAGGAGATGAGAGTATTTATTGAACTCATTGCATTTAGGCAATAGGTTCGGTATGTCGGGATCACTTCTGGAAAACTACGAGTTTAATCTGCCACAGTTTGCAGAACGAGAATCGCAAGACAACTCGCACTCTCTTCTTAAACAGGTGGTGACTTCCAGAATATCGTTGGCAGAAAAAAAGTTAATGAAAATGTTGACTATCATGCCACAAATACTGTACCCATTTAAGAGACACAGTGGACCGTTTTTTCTGTCTTCTCTGCAAATGCTGCCAACTAGGTATTTGAGGTTTTGTTTTGTGATGGTTTACATCTTAAATGTTCTTCCGACAGGTTTGATTCTACTATTGTTGGTTGAATTTTAATGTAGGTAAGGATTAGTGAAGTTAATATTGGGAGTGAATGTCGTGAATAAATGGTCTCAGGTTAACTTTTAAGGCAGCAAATTCTATTTTATTGAAATCTGAGCATATTTTAACTCTTTGGCTTACGAGCTTTGATATGTGCCAAACAAACCGAAAGACAGAAATAAATATTTGGAAAGGGTATAAAGATGTGTTCTGGGTATAAAAATTAATCTCATATCATTTATCATTGTAAATCGAAAAACTTACATGCTAACATAAAGGTAGTAAATAGAACTGGTGTAGCGGAATAAGGGAGTTGAGTTTATCTATTTGTACTTATATGGTGACATGTTAGCATTAACTGTAATTTACAAAAATTACACAACGTTTATACATATCTATACATACATATATACACCTATGTCAATTTATATAGGGTGGTGGTGTAATTACCAAGTATATAATAG